TAGACACTGCCTGTTTAGAAGACTTTTTTTATATAGTTTTTAGAGTTACACTAATGCATTTGTTATTTTTCCTGCCAGTGTATTCCCTTAAAAAGGCAATAGTTTAACCCTTTTAAAATAGTATTGGAAGATATCTTAACCTTTAAAGTATAACTTAACTAGAGACTTTAGTGCAATAAAATATACGATGTTTTTTAGTATGGAAGAATATTCCTTGTAATTTATTTGGGTATTTCGGTTAGTTTTTTTATAATTACATGTTTTTCCATTATAAACGTATCTTTATCAATGGTTGTATTGTATTCCGGTTTTTGTTGCATAAATGTTTCCCATTAAAATGGTTGTTTTATTTTTACTAATGGTCACAAAATGCCTAAGATAAAGGTAAGGTTTTGGATTCTTATACTTGAAAATAATTTGAATCGGAATCTTTGTTGGGCAAGATCTTGTTATCTAAGGTGCCATTTGAATGTTATTTACCTATTTAATTGAGAACTCAATTGTGATATTTATAAAATAGTAAATATGAAACATTGTCTTAAAAGAAAGAATTTCATCAGTTTTCAAACTTGAATACATAAAACTATGCACTTAGTTGAAATTTAAATAAGATCAAAGAGCAAATATAATTTATTCTTATATTAGGAAAACTTGCTAGACACCTAGTTAAATCATTTGTATTTCATAATTAAATAAAATATTGACTGTATTAAAATTGAATTGTTATTTTTAATCTGTATCTATTCAACATCATTGTAATATTAGATTTCTATTGTTTTATCTATGAAAGTGGATACGGTGTACCAGAATCCCGCCAAATGGAAGTCTCATTCTCTCTCTCTATCCCTCTGGATCATTCTGGACTACGATCAAGGATAATGTTTTAACATGTAACGGCTCATCAATCTATAACTGTTACTTAATTGTCAATTCTACATTGATCAAAGAAAAATTTAACAAAAACACTACGTAAGTAACATATTACAAGTGTTTCACTATCAATAAGCGAGACCGAGAAGCGTGAGGCTGCGCGAGCAGTGCTGCCAACCGCACAACGAGATCACGAGATAGCTCTCGTCTTCCTTATCATCAGCTGATTTTTCCTGCAAATAACTGAGGCACGATTTTATTCTTCACGCGCGTCAGTTGGAGGGATCTTTCAAATACGTGAGTAACTAAATTATTCTATAAATACACTAAATTAACGGCAAATATGATAATCAGAAATAGTTATTACATTTTAGTTATCATTTGACAGTGAAAAGCATTTTAGAAATATTGCAATATTCTTTTATTTTAAGAAAGTTTTTGTCTTTAGTCATGTTGTATATCAATTCGGAAGTAGTGTTTATGCTCTGCATACGTTTTAATTTGGTAAATAACGCGCCAATGAACAAATTAATTGAATGGTCGCATCACGAATTGTACTGGTCACATGCGCGGGAGCACCAACATTACGAACCGGTTCAGTTTGCTCTTGCGCGGTGAACGCGCGCTACGTGTATTCTGTGCACACAAATCGAACATTTTAATACTGGTACGTGAGCATTCTACTAAACTTTATTACTAACACCTCATTTAGACTAAATATCACTGATTTTAAACACATTTATTAGAATAATATTAAAGGTTTGACAATTATAATCGATGCAAAGGCGATGATTGCTTTCAATACTTGTGGAGGTACGGCTTATGTTGCGTACAGTCGTTTTACTTTTATAAAAACAATTTTATACTTACTAAAAACAATTCTTAAGTTTATAAATAAGTGTGATAAGTTTAGTAATATTGGTATTATAAAACAATTTCATTTACTTAACGTAAACTTTTATCTATGTAAATAAAGATGGAATCTTAAAACCAGTTTAAATTAAATGATGATAATCTGTGGTAGATTTAATATTCATGATATTTATGAGAAGTAAAATAAACCAAGAGTTCTTGTGACAATTAAAACCTTATCTTTCGATTTTTATTACATGGTTTTAACTCTAATGGAAAAACACACTCATTTGGAAAAAAATATTTTATTTATTCTCATAGGTATAAAATATTTGATATTGGCATGAAACTTACGTCCCCTTGCTAAAACGTAACGTACTTTGCCCACAGAGTCGTGAGTAAGAAATTTATATTGTATGTAACACTTATTACACGCTTGCCAATACATAAATCACGAAGAAAAAATTACCAACTTCATGTAGAGAATTTTGCGCGGAAAAGTCATTATGACGAAAATAAAGCCTTATGTCCTTGAGATTTTTTCCATGGATTCGTTTAACAATATTTTGTTAAATAAATTGTACCACAGCGGTTGAAGTCGGCTTAACTAAAGTTATTACTTCAATACTGATAGAGTTTACATCAGTAAATATGAGATACTCCTATATTAATTTCAATAAGATTATGCAGTGAGTCACGTGAGCAAGAAAATTATATGTAAATTCTAAACTATATTTTTCTAGTCAACTAGCTGTATAATCTACAGATGGTGTGTTTTATAGAAGTTTGATGTCTAAAAGAGTCGATTTTCGAAATGTGTGTGCGCGACACTTTATCCCAGGAAAAGGAGGAGGTCTTTCCGCCTTGATTTTGTAATCAGGATTAGATACTGTAGCTTATTAGGACGGGTTTGTGAATGTTAAATTTAGTTAAATTCCTGAGTAACGTGCTGATCAAAGAAGCCTTTGATAATATATTCTTATCTTAATGTATACGGAGATTTTTATCTACATGATTGACGTGACCCTAAGCAAAGAGTAGGTACAATTGATAATTTTATATATTCCATATAAATTACATTAACTGCAGCATTCAGAGACGTAATAGTTACCTTAACAAATGCTTAATGTATGTAAGTCATACTTAAACTACACTAAGGAACTACATTATTGATCACTTAACAGAAAATTGACAGTCAGACAGTGATGGCGTCTTAATGATATTGTTCGTATAGGTGAAGCATAATGTATTGCTTGAAAAAAATTATTTTCTACCATTTTAATTTTTTTCTATAGTAAACTGTTAGGTACAGACTGCAAAGCATAAATAACCTTACGTAATCACATACCTATAGGTGTACTGATAGCGCTATGTTTTTGCAATACACTAATACTAAATACAACTATCAATATAACAAAACGCTTGTGTGTGTGTTGTGTCGAAAGCACGACGTGCCCGCACTCTATGGGCATTTATGTCAACGCTAAACATAAACTAAACTTTATTCAAATTAGTGTGTTGAAATGTTATCTAGTTTATTTGGTAGCGGACGTTTTCAAAGGCTGATTTGACATACATTTTAAGTGAAACTGGTGTGTCTAGGACCTTGGTAGTGCCTGAGTCTTAACACAATCAGCCACAAAGTCGTGAATATTTTATCTATAATGATAGACAAAATAAAAAGACAGTTTTAGATAGACTGTGGCTAAGCTCTGCCTATGAATTAGGTCGATCTACAAACTAGATTTATTACATTGGTAGTGTGTCTAAAAGGTTAATTATTATAATATTCAAACCTACTTTGAAATAGTGATAGGATAAAAATAAAAATGTACTTATCTGGAACGTTGAAGAAAGGTTCTAGATAATAAGCACTTGACTAATTGCAAATCTCAAAATTCTTAACACAAAAAGTAGGAGATAAAATGTCCCATAGCATACATTACGTTCGCAAAAGGCTTTAAATTGCGGTACCTGTATTTGGTAAGGTTTATTACAGCAATTATCAGAATGAGTAATGCGCCTTCTGTGACTAACGTATTAAAAACAAATATTGAGCTAAGGCTCGCTCCGCTGATATGTTTTATTCATACCGCACAAACATGCACTGTTTTATAATGAGGTTAAATACATGTCGAGTTTTTGGTTCTCAAGATAATGAAATTCTTTTTAAAAATGTTTTAAACGATCTTCATACAATCTCAGTTAACGGAGATTACACTGTCTAGAGTACATTAGAAACGGCAATAAACACTTTTTTACCGTCTGACAAGCGTCTTCAAATCATACTTAGTATGTTAATGCAATGTTCGCATCAGCTATGAGATCAGATCTCTTATTCATTAGCAAATGCAAATCAAAAATCGTTCACTCGTTACGTTAATTAAAACACTATTTGAGTATTCAAAGCCTTCTACTAAATTAAATCTTGATAATTGATTGAATGAATATGTATTAATTGCCACAAAAAATATATAAACGGACTTATTCTAAAGAAAACATAAAATCGTGGCAAAATGTAGCCAGCTCAGCGTATGCAGGAGGGACAGCCGTTCCTGCGCTTATTTTCTTTTGGCTCTTTCGCACTCATGTAACTTATATTTTAATTAAACTGTATTATTTAAAAATGACAAAAGGTTTTATGTACAGTATGTACATCTGTTACATCTATACAAATAATTATATACATTTAAATATTAACTAGTAATCGGCTACTAACAGTATGTTTGCTACGAATTGAACTTCCAGTCAACCGTCGTTACATTTTTGCAATCGAATCTCTTCGCAATCAACGTGCGAAATAAACAACATCCGGCGGCAGTTTATACTACACATATCATGTTACAGACCTATCGTTTTACACACACTGTATTGCACATCATTTAATTTCGATATAGCAAGTAAAGATATTTGGACTTATGTGTGTTCTCTATGTGGTCCAAAACTATTTAATCGAATATTATTAAACTTATCTGTTATCCGATTAGCTAATAAATGTTTCTGTGATAAAATATAAATTTGAATATCGTTGTTTTTTTAAGAATTTTTGTACTACTACTAACATTTTGGATTTAATCTATAGTATTATATATAATAAAGCGTAAACACACATTTCTTTTTTAAATAATTCTTTTTTCAATAAAAAGCCTTACATTAACGTCACGCTTTAGGCTATATATTTCACGCCATTATCTTAGGGGGTAAATATTTTGGATAAAAACCCTAACGTGGGAAAGAGACTATAAGTTGCTGCCTACATCAAGGAAGCAAGGTTGCCATGGTTTGTCATAATGTCATGTTATTTTGACATTTGCAATTGATAATTTGACACATGTAAACAAGAAAATAAAATTTTCATAATTTCAGGCGGATGAAGTCGCACGGGAACAGCTAGTTTAAGAGGAAAATGCAGTAGTATATTACGGTTTACTTATAAAATGTCTAAACTATGTTCCAATAATGAACTCACTGTAAACGTAGGCTACCCAAATAGCAATGTTTATTTTACTTGGTTCATTGTTTACATTTGGTTCGAGTTTAAAAACAAATAGGATAAAAGATTAACGACAGGTGAGCTAAAATTTACAATGTTGAGTCTGGAAATATTTCTAGAGGAATAGTTGAAACAAAAGTTTTGAATCTGTTTATGATCACTGTACTTTTAAGAATTCGAAATAACCTATCAGTACTTTCTTGTTTACTAGTGTGTTATCTTAACCTGAAAACATGCAAGTCTATTGGCCTCTTAAACAAATATCCAATGCAAATATATAAAGTAACTTTACTTTATTTGATAACGAAAGTAAAAGAAGGCTGTTTTTTAAAAAACATTTGTCGACTTATCAATAATGACTATTTTTGTCGCAGGATGTGACGTACTTACACAAGTATGAACACCTTCTTTCAGCCTTTTGAAAATATTAATTTACCAATATGTGATAAAACCTTTAAACAATATTCACATAGTATGTATGTATTTTTATATTTATTTGAATAACTCAAAAACTACTGGGCCAAATAAAAAAATTCTTTCACCATTAAATAGCTATAGTATCAGTGAGTAACATAGGATGGTTTTTTTATTATTTTTAATTCACGCGGACGAAGTCGCTAGCAACCGCTAGTTTTAAATATCGTTATTCAAATATAATATAACTAAGCTGAAGAATTTCTAATCAAAAAAGCTGATATATTAATGAGGTGTTTATGTTTGAATCGTACAAATTAAATTGTTACCTAGACTGAAAAAACCTTTTGTGTTTCTGCAGTGTAAACACACCATTTTAAAAGCGATATCAACAAGTAAACACACAGTTGCTCTGCACTATGCGTTGTCGCCGATACATATAAAATTGGAGTGTCTGTACGTAATATTAAAAAGAAAACACATGTCGTAAAGTTGTTAAAGTTTAATTAAAATTTTTGTTTGCCCGCACGTTTGTTACGTACAAGAAAGGTAGCTGATATCTTTTTTAAATTCTGCGTTAACGAAGTCGCGGGCGATCACTAGTTTTAAACATAGTGGAACTGAGCAAATATTACTGGCCGGAAATACACGATATAAGTACCGGGCGGCCTTTTTCGTGAATGGAACAGGTGTCCTCTACTTCCGTATGCGGGATGCGGACACGCTACGTTACCCTTGTAACTTGTAATGTACTGCATATTAAATCTTTTACCTGTTATCGTTTCTTTGCTTTGCCGAGTTCGAGGAGCTATCACGAATATTTGCGTGATAATTACGAGATCGTATTCGTAACATCTTCGACAAAATTTGTCAATGTTGGATTAAGATAAAATTTAAATGCAAAAGTTTAAAATTTTGAGCTGTTCGTTTATTGAAATCTTACACGATCTGAGTTCAAACCGGTGTAAGCCAGATTGGTTTCTATCTTTAGATAAGTATAATAATTTAGTACGAAAGGATCAAGCATTAAAAATAATTTTAATAAAATGAATATTATTAATAGTTTATAATAGTTATTTTAGCAGAAAAAATGTATGAGATTTGTTAGGGTAAATGTACTATCGGTAGAGACGCCTGCACAAATCTAATACAAATCTCGGTGACACTACGAAAACGTTCTCACGAATTCTCGTGATAACCTCTTAGACCTTTATTTGCGTTCATGGATGGTTTTAAACTTTTAATATATACTTCTTCGTAATTGCTGACATCATAAGTCGTTGGTAAATAGTATGAAGTAAAAAAATGGGAAAATCTATATTGTCCGCTAAATTTTACGCTGTCAATCTTCATTTTAAATCATTGTATACGATTTTGACGGTGTTTTTGAAGATCTCTAAACAGATATACAATCTTTGTTTATAATATAACGTTACTAATTAGTATATCTTGTCGAACTGTCAGCATTGTTTTTTCAGAGTCATAATTTTGAGGTTTTGTTTTAAAATATATTTAAAATCACATGGAAAGTCACTTAATTATAATAGCTATTAAAATAAAACAAAAAACTCAAAGGAACTTTTAAAAATAAATCTATTTGCTTTATAAAAACCTTTTAAAATTAACTTCCTCAGTTTTTATAAGCATCTCTGTATCGGAAATCAAGGGGACAATGTTTTTGATAAAGAAACGTCTCAATCCATTCAACCGACGTAGAGATAAAAAATGTTACGGTAAGCTGAACACAGGTATGCAAAAACCTTCCGGCCTTGCGCCATAACAATCCTTCGTATTACACTGACACTCAGACACATTCAATAGTTAAACACTCGTTTAGTGTTGCTTTTACAGATTAAATGTACACTAAGCGGCTGTTTTAAAACTGAATTGAAGATACACGGAAACAAACGTGATCTTTTTATTTTTTTATAACTTCTAAATTCCAACAACTTCTAAAGAGCGTGTTTTACGTATGCTTGTTACGTTTAAAATTATAAAAATAGTAGAGATGAATTTAAAACAGTGACGTAATTCTTACATAAACAAGTCGGAGTACATTGTTTATGTTTGGGGGGAAAACTTAAACTAAGATTTATCTATTGCTAGACATTACAGAAAGTATTGTTATCCCTTTCATTTTATTTGTAAAAACTGAAATAGATATAGATTTTGTTCGTGATTTTCGGCAATGGAAACTAACTATTAGAGTGAGCTTGTCGAATTCTGGACACGGTATTTTGCGATGGTCGCTTCGAATTTTATCGCGTGACTGAAATCAGTAAAGCGATGTTTTGTATACTTTGGTTCATAGCCTTACATAGAAAAAATATTCGTTTTCTTCCAGCTGGTTATTATATCGATTTTATTTTAATTTAAAACGGTGTATCTTAGCACAATGTTACTTAGATTTTCTTTAATTAAATCGTCTTTAACGATTTCTTATCACAGACGCTTTGTATTATAATTAACAGTGCCACATTTACCTACAATAGACTGAAGGTTAAAGGAATTGTTAAATGCAGTACAGTAATTACAATAACTTGTAAAATGCAGAGTTATGTTATTTTATGACAATTTAATTGAGTCACGGTGGTCTGAAAGCAACAAAATATTTTCTAATCTCAATACGTGATTTTATCTCTTTCTCATTTCTACACTTGTCTTATTAGTATGAAAAATCTACACTAAGGCATTGATTAACTAACCATTAGACTAAGTGCGGTAGTTACAACAATCATAATGTTTATATTTTTATTTTTAATTGGTACAGTGTGACCGAGATCAATAGTACTTCACGATAACACTGAGACGACCTTGTGGCGTTATACGAGGGTGATATTTGCACTCTATACATGGTGTTTACTTTTTCAAATCGATATAGTACTTCATAGGAGTATCTATTAAGCTATGTCTACAACAGTTTTCTGGCCATATTACCTTTTCTCCAAATTGACGTTTCAATACCAAAACATAATAAGAAATAATAAAGTGACTAGGTAACTACACCAGTATAAATATAGTGAAATATCATTTGCATAGAGCTGTTCTTAGTAAGTTATATTTTTTGTGTAAAACAATAATATAAATAAAGTTTAAATTATATTTATACACTTAAAATGTATCGTAACCTTTAACTCTCAGTCTAACAGGTTACGAACGCACAAGATCTGTCCACGTATTATTTAATTGAGATGTTTTGTAACATCCTGTAGCACAGTCTACTGGACGGTCGCCCTCATTCCGATCACACTTGGCCGTCACTAGTAAATGGCATTATAATTACGCATTACGCCTTTTGATTCGATTGACATATGATTAATCATATAAATTGCTAAAAAATGTTTAGATTTCATGTTTGTTCATTTATTAAGTCAAAAAGTAGAGACTTAATAACAGTTTTCAATGTGGGAAAAATTAAGCCAAAAACGAGATGATCCATATTCGAAACTAGCCGTTGCTTGCAATTTCGTCTGCGTGAAAATAAAAAATAATAAAAAACATAGCCTATGTTACTCACAGTTAAATTACCTTTTTAATAGTGAAAGAATTTTAAAGAATTGGCCCAGTAGTTTTTACTTGAATCAAATACATACAAAAATACAAATCTTTCCTCTATAAAATATTGGTGTAGATTACAGTTTCTCTAAATTCAGTTCATTACTTTATTGATAGTCACTTTTGTCATGTCTCCACACACCATACGTTTTTCTCTAGCGAATGTTACACCTAAACTACCTTCGATACGTCTAAGTTTCACAGAGTTTAATAACTACCCTCCATTTCCTATCAACTTCATAATCGACTAGTACAAAATACTCCTAATTTACCGTGACTTATTTAAGTATTATTGTTACAGAAGCAGTGGAACAATAAAGCACCAACATGGGGGCGATGTTCCGGAGCGAAGAGATGGCGCTGTGCCAACTCTTCATACAGCCAGAGGCGGCGTACACCTCCGTGTCAGAATTAGGAGAGGCCGGCTCTGTGCAGTTTAGAGATGTAAGTAAACATTTAATATGGTAGCTGGGTCGGTAAGACTTTGTCGACCCCTTTATTTAGTTCTCACAATGTATACAAATGTTAAAGCAGTGATTTTGGTCCTGGCGAACCATTTATTTTATTGTAATATTTCATGTTATACGTTTATAAAGACACCGGTAAAGATTTTACCGTTATTAAAAAAGCTCTATCAGACTATATTGTGATATGGCGCCAGATAGACGTATGCAGGTTGTAACGAGGGGACAGGTTTATTTAGTTTTATTGTGTGGGTCGTGCGGACACTCCCGTGGGAATAACTGACATGTTGATGACGTCACGTCACGATTCATTTAGCGTTTTGTAGAACTAATTGAATTCGCAATAAATAATGCAACTTGTATGTTGTTTATTACAATGTTGTATATTGCTATTAATTCAAATTTAAACCACAAAATTGGTGACATTTTAAATAATAATTGCTTACAAAGTATGTTTACATGAACTTGACGAACACTTAAATTGCTATAAAACATATTTTCATGGCTAATAAACATTTATCACGGATACTGTTTATGAATTATATACCGATACTACGAACTATAACATCTAAACGCAAACGAAAGTGGTCTTTCCGCTTTTGATTTTACGGGATGTATTGGATAGAGGTTAAACATTAGCTACTGGTAACTGGTTCGGAAAGTGACGCTATATGTAAGGCCATCGAGGCGTTATACGAGGGAGGCAAGGTCATCCTGTCCTCGGTTCACTCGACACACCCGAAATAATGCAACTCGAAAGCCGTACACGAACAACACATAGGAAACTTTTGACAAAAATGACTTTCATAAGTGACTTTAGCAAATAAAATATTTGAAAATTAAGTAAAAATTAGTTAATCTACAAGTATCTATGTACTTTAGGCATTACATGTTTTTACCTACTTAAGTATGTAAATTTTTGAATTGCGGATTTAAACTTAAAAACTTATTAAATATGTAACTGCTATGTTAGTCCAGAACTAGAACTGATGAGAGCGCAACTTATATACGGGTTTTTATTGTAAAAAACGAGTTTGTGCAAGTTCACATGGATAAAATTGGCCTCTCTTCAAATTGCATAATGCATCGAGCTTAAAGTGGCCGACCATGCACTAGGACATCATACTTTATATGGCTTAAGATTCATTCTTAAATAGGTCTTTTACCTTAAAGAGTTAACTACTTAAAAATGTTTACCGAGAAATTAATACTATTAAGTTTGTATGTTAAGTTTAATGCTTTAGAACCGACCTAGATTTCATACATATAGACATCGAGATTTAGACATTAAGGATTTTTTTTAATTGAATAGCCCTGTCTAATTGTAGTACTATAATCTGTATTTAGTAACGCACATTTAATTAAAATATGCAGTTTGCTAACTTTACCATTTTCTGAACGTATGCAGTTTTCCGAAGAATATCAGCGCAGATGGCGAAGTAAAATAGTTAATTGCAGTCTTCAATGCGGTTTTATTACAAGACCTCTAACGGGAAACCTTGTAAACAAACCCGAGTTTCCGAGAAACATTTCCTCGCTAATGGAGTTGCGGAAACTAAACTCCTACAAGTAACTTTTAAGAGGCAAAGGTCTTCAATTGATGTCCGAATTTTGCCACCATTTTTAGAAATGTAGTTAATGTTACTATTTTTTTCTCTCAACTTTTACAAGCTAGACGTAGGAGGACTCTGTACATGAAAGATAGGCAAAGCGTTTGCAATAATTTAATATGTTGCAGATGCCTATGGGCGTTCTTTTTGCTTTTTGCTTGCACGTTTGCCATCATCTATTATAAAAAATAATACTGATCGTGTATCAATTCCAGTTGAATCCCGACGTGAACGCATTCCAACGTAAATTCGTTAACGAAGTGCGTCGCTGCGATGAGATGGAGAGGAAGCTGCGGTACATCGAGGCGGAGGTACATAAGGACGGCGTACACGTGCCCGAGGTTAAGGAGCCCCCGCGCGCTCCCAACCCCAGGGAGATCATCGACCTTGAGGTCAGTATACCCTTCCAAGGCAAAGTAAGACCCACCTACAACTAAGATAAGTAGTTAGTACCTGCAATTATAGGCTGTAAAGGTTTACACGAACAACTGTCAGCTAGAAAATTGGTTTCAGTCTACCGTTAAATGTAACAAAAGACAGTCTACAGAAACAGTAAAATTAACTTTTTTGCAAGTTTCAAATGGATAAGTATTTCTGCTTCATGCTTTTTTAAATGTATTTTTCAATATTTATATGACACTTGTTTACCCTCTGTCAATCGTCAGTGTTAGTTTATATCACGACATAAGGCTTTCGTTACATCGTACTCACACGCCTACTAATTGTGTAATTTACAACCTTTCAAGACGTTAACAATTATAGTCCCGATAAGATAAGCGATTGGGTATTTGACAGCGGCTTGATTGCTTTTGATTAATGGCGTTTGCTTTCAATTCTTAGCAATACTTGAGCCACTTAAAATAACTGAATGGTTAGGCTCATAAGTACTTGATTTTATTAGGACGAGGACGACTAAGTGATTTTTAAGTGTTCGGCGAAATTGTGTGAATTCTCTAATTTTACAATTACATTTTATATTTAGTATGATTTCTTTTTTTCATTAGTGAATGCCCTATATGGTTCATCGCAAATTAAACCTAGCAGTCCTTTTTAACATTTACATCATTTGATATAAATATTTTATATTATTTCTTTTATTTTAGGCTCACTTGGAAAAGACGGAGAACGAAATCCTAGAGCTGTCGCATAACGCGGTCAACCTGAAGCAGAATTATCTGGAGTTGACGGAGCTGAAACACGTGCTGGAGAAGACCGAGGCATTCTTCATCGCACAGGAGGAGATCGGAATGGATTCCCTTACAAAGTAACTAGGAACGCAAATAATATAAAAGACATGCACTATACTTATTATAGGACTTTAATAATGCTAGACTTCGCAGCGCCATAACCTATTGTACGAATGACCGATGCTCTTTGACCACACAAAACGGGTAGAAATGCGAGTAATTACGCTCGTTTCTCATCTTGTAATATAAAAAAACATACAGTCGTAATGAATACCTCCTTCTTTTGAGAAGTCTGTCAAAATGATATAGCCTCGCTCAACTTTCATCATCATTATCGTCAACTAAAAGTCCCTATTGAGAGGCTCAAAATCTTCTCATGTCACCTCTAACTCAGGGTTATAGCTTACTAGGCACTGGCCTATAATTGGTTCACTTTACACATTCCTCAATTGCGATTGTAATTTATTGCCGACGATATTGCTAGAAGAATATGAGAAAACCGAAATTCTTACTGTTAAGAAAATCAGTACAACTGGAGGATTGGCGCAACACTAAATTATTGGCATAAACGTCCCGTCCCTATGACAGCTGTCAATGTCATTCAGTCGTATTGAAATAGCGCGCCATTTTAACGAGAGGCAGTACTCTATGAAGTTAATTAAGTTGATACAATCAAAATCTATCTCTATTATTACCTACAAAGTGGTAATAATGGTTATTAGTAAGTAATTACGGTAACATAGGTCGCTGATATCGGACGAGGCGGTGGGGCAGCAGGCGGCGACGCGCGGCCGGCTGGGCTTCGTGGCGGGCGTGGTGCA